CTTGCAGCCCTGACACACAGGACACGTGGCCTCCAACGTTACTGGGACAGGGGAAAAGAGAGAAGAAGGAGACTCATGGGCTGCTAACTGCCTCATCCTAGAATCAACACGCGTCAATGCCCCTCACATTTAACTGGCCAACATGGCCCCAAGCCCTTACCAATCCCCCAGGGAGGCTGGGAAATGAGGAGGAGAGGGAGGATACTTGATAAGCCCTGGAAGTCTCTGGCACAGCCTTCCTCAGTGTAGATCCCCAACATCAGTCACCAGCCAGAGAATTCTTTCCCCCTGAGCCGTGCTGGGATGGGGCTGGCACAGGAGCTCTGGTCCAAGCAAACAACCTGACTTTGGCTTTAACAGTGTAATACTGGGCACAGTGCCATAGGCTAGGTCAGGCCACACACCACAGTAATTATATTTCATTTGCCTTCGTGTTTTTAAGGAGATATTGTAAGTCTTCTGGATTTGGGAAATGTTAGTCTATCTAATGGTGAAATAGAGAGAACTTGTTCTGTGTCTCTCTCTTTTAAAAAAAAAAAGATTTAATTTATTTATTTGACAGATAGAGATCACAAGTAGGCAGAGAGGCAGGCAGGGAGTGGGGAAGCAGGTTCCCTGCTGAGCAGAGAGCCCGATGCAGGGTTTGATTCCAGGACACTGGGATCATGACCTGAGCCGAAGGCAGAGGCTTTAACCCACTGAGCCACACAGGCGCCCCTGTTCTGTGTCTCTTAAAGTACATTCCTTGAAACCCCGGTTCCTATAAGATATATTTGGCCAAAAAGAGGGCTCTATGATCAAACAAAGGTTTGGAAGACACTGGATTTTTTTTTTTTTAACAATAACAGTTAGTTTATTTCTGATACTAAAGTCAGCCTACCTCTCCTTTCTTCTCTAGTTTTATTTATTTATTTATTGGTCTTTACCAAAACTTCTCTAGTTTTATTTATTTATTTGAGAGACAGACAGACAGATAGAGATAGAGAGAGCATGAGTAGGGAGGAGAGGGAGAAGCAGACTCCTACCAAGCAGGGACCAAGCAGCCCAATGTGGGACTTGATCCCATGACCCTGAGATCATGATCTGAGCTGAAGGCAGACGCTTAACTGACTGAGCCACCCAGGTGCCCCTGTAGTTGTTATTTATTTTATTTTTTAAAATTTTTATTTATTTTTTACATTTCTTTTCAGTGTTTCAAAATTCATTGTTTATGGACCACACCCAGTGCTCCATGCAATATGTGCCCTCCTTAATACCCACCACCAGGCTCACCTAACCACCCAGCCCCTTTTCCTCCAAAACCCTCAGCTTGTTTCTCAGACTCCACAGTTTCTCATGGTTCGTCTTCCCCTCTGATTTCCCCCAATTCACTTTTCCTTTCCTTCTCTTAATGTCCTCCATGTTTTTCTTATACTCCACAAGTAATCAAAACCATATGATAATTGACTCTCTCTGCTTGACTTATTTCACTCAGCATAATCTCTTCCAGTCCCATCCATGTTGATACAAAAGTTGAGTATTCATCTTTTCTGATGGAGGCATAATACTCCTTTGTATATATGGACCACATCTTCTTTATCCATTCATCTGTTGAAGGGCACCTTGGCTCTTTCCATAGTTTGCAACTGTGGCCATTGCTGCTATGTACACTGGGGTACAGATGGCTCTTCTTTTTACTACATCAGTATCTGTGGGGTAAATACACAGTAGCGCAATTGCAGGGTCATAGGGAAGCTCTATTTTTAATTTCTTAAGGAATCTCCACACTGTTTTCCAAAGTGGCTGCACCAACTTGCATTCCTACCAACAGTGTAAGAGGATTCCCCTTTCTCCACATCCTCTCCAACATTTGTTTACTGTCTTGTTAATTTTGGCCATTCTAACTGGTGTAAGGTGGTATCTCAATGTGTTTTTTTTTTTTTAAAGATTTTATTTATTTATTTGACAGAGAGAGATCACAAGCAGGCAGAGAGGCAGGTAGAGAGAGAGGAGGAAGCAGGCTCCCTGCTGAGCAGAGAGCCCAATGTGGGGCTCGATCCCAGGACCCTGAGATCATGACCTGAGCCGAAGGCAGCGGCTTAACCCACTGAGCCACCCAGGCGCCCCCTCAATGTGGTTTTAATTTGAATCTCACTGATGGCTAATGATGATGAACCCCAAAGAAAACATACAAATGGCTAAGAGACACATGAAAAAAATGTAGTTGTTTTTTAAATAACTCACCTGTAGAAACACTATATGCTCATATGAGAAAATTCAGAAATATTAAAAAGTAGGAAAAAACCCTCATTTTTTAATGATCTAATTTCCAGTCACCGTCTTTGGAAAGCACTGAGTTTTGTAGCATCCTTTAGAGCAGCTTTCCTAAGTGTCCACAGTGACAGATCTAAAAAGCATGGCAATGTGATGCTGGCTTCATCTTTTTTTTTTTTTTTTAACCCAACAGGGAATCCATCCCCACACTTTTTTTCCTACATGATACCTATTAATCTCCTAAGAACCAGTGTTTTAGGGCAAACAAGAACCTGTTTAATCACAGCATGTTTGCAAATCCTTGCTTGGAGAAGCCATCTGTCTATCCTTTTTTGTTGAGCTCTGGTTTCAAAGGGTGGTATTTGTTGCTTGTCTCCCAATCCAGGGGCTGCTTTCACCCAGTATTAATGGTGGAGGTAGTCATGAGGCCCAAGATGACACAGGAAGACACTGTCAGAGGCAGTTGCCATGAGAAGCCCTCCTCCCAGGCTTCAGCCACCTTTTGATCTGTCCTGTCCCCATACATCCAACGCCTCTGAAACCTGGACATGCCACTTTGGTCTGTATCTGTAAGAAAGGTGAGCCTGTGGGTTCAGGAATTCCTGATTCATCCAGCCTGTCAACCCCCTCACAGGAAGATAAGAAAAGGTCATCCTTCCTCTTCCTTGATCCTGGGCAGAAGTGGCTTGGTTCTACAGAAATGGGTATCTCAAATTCTTAAGAAGTTTCCAGAAAAAAGAAGACCTCAAAGGCTCCCTTCGAAAGACAATCTTATATAAATTTCTCCTATTTCAGTTGAAATACTTTTCCACTTTTCTATTCTCAATGACCAGAGTTAATAAACTCTCTCCTGTACTTGTGGAAAGAAAACTGGTTAAATTTATGGGTTGTAGGAAGCAATCTCATGAAATAATGGAGAGTACAACCTTGAGTTTCTTGAGGGGCCTGCTGGTTGCCCAGATTCACTGACACTGCCTCTTCCCTATCCAGAGGAAATGGGATATAGGGTCTCCCCTGAGGAAGCATAGAGAGCCCACCATCTTCACACCCAGGATATTCCAGACTCTTCTATCTGTTCATCTGTGGCTGGCGCCATCTCGATCACTCACCGAGGCTTCCCCTCCGCCCCTCCCCCCCAGCCTCACTCCCTGTGGGATAAACACCTTGGTTGTTATTATGCTCTGTTATTGGTTCAGCTGAGGCTGTGTCACTCAGTTACCCTCAGGTGCCACCTGACCACCCCATGAGGGCTCCAAGAGGAGCCCAGGCCCCAGGGTATAACTGGGGGCACAGCGATGAGCCTTGTCTGTTTCACACTCATCCTGAATGTCCGTGGTGCTGAGGCCAGGGCTGAGCATGGGCTGAGCAGGGGAGGGAAGGGTTAATCCAGGCACCTATTAATCTAATGGTGGAAATGGGACACACACCCAGGACTCAGACAGACTGAGAAATAGGAGTGATGAAATAGAATACCACCTGTGTACCAGAAGAGCCGTATGGGAAGGGGCTTTTCTGACAGAAGAGGAGAATTAAAGGCAACTTAAGTTGGAAAAAGGAAAGTGGGTTATATTGGAAAAGATACTTATGAGCTTATTTGGAATGAAGTTCAAGAATCTAGCTCTTGATTTTTCAGACTGGAGGTGTCTTTCTTGGCCCTTCTCAACTTGTTCTTAATACTCAGTCACATTTTGATCCAGAATCAGAAATGCCAGGGCAAAGAATGTACTGATTGGAGGTTCCTTGGATGGGATGGATGATTCTCTTCTGCAATTAAAGAAAAAGAAAAAACTCAAACTCATGTAAGACTGTCTTCCAGACCACCTTCCTGTACCATCTCCTCAGGCCCCCTTCCCTTCTTCCCAGTTAGTATCTCCCTCACTTTTATTTATTTATTATAAATTATATATATATATTATATATTATATATATATAATATATATTATATATATATAATATATATTATATATATATATATTATATATATATTTATTTATTTATTACAGAAATGCTTTTCTGGAGAACCAAAATAACCCCCCTCTGCCCCCCACCACACCCACCCCAGCTCTTGTGACCAGAGCTCTCACTGGCCTGAACTCTGTCCCTGTGTCTGGCCTTCCCCCAACAGACTGAGAATTCCTTGCAGATAAGCCAGATGTCTCTACCCTCTGGGACTTCCTTCCAGTACTCAGGATAGAGCCGTCCTCTTCCGGAAGTCTGGGGGAAGCAGCAGCTAGCTGACAGGCTAAGGATGATTCTCTGGAATATTCTTGATCCTGTTCATGTCCTTCTGAAGCAGAACTGGCCTGGACATCTGCTCCCCTATACCACGCTCCTCCACCTGGTGGGAGGGTGTCTCCCCCCCCCACCCCAGCCAGACCCAGTGGAAGCTTCTACCATAGATCTTGGCCGTGATAACCCTAGTAATTGGAGGGCAGCAAGTGGAGATAAGGTAGCCAAATTATTATAATGCAGGAGGTAAGCAAAGCAAATGCAGGGTTCAGGGCAATTTTATAGGGAATTCATGAGGAGTTCAGGGTGGGAGAGACAAAAATCTCAGGGAGGAGTGTTAATTTCCTAAACGGAGAACCTGAGAGGACCCATGTGGCTAATAGATGTCCCGGACCTACAAATTAGGCTGCCTGCAGCCGGCTATTTAAGGGGTTAGGGGGGAGCGAGGCAGGCCAGCGGAGCCGCCCTCTGCGCCCCTGTCCCACCTCGCATCGCGCTCCGCAGCCCGTCCCCCCAGCATGAGCCGCCAGCTGCACCACCGCCCCGCCGGCGAGCGCACAGGCTTCAGCGGCTGCTCGGCCGTCATCTCGGGACGGGTGAGCACCAGCTCCGCCTCGTTCCGGGCCGGCGTCAAAGGCACCACCGCCTTCGGCTCCAGGAGCCTCTTCAGCCTAGGGGGCGGCCGGCGCCTGGCCTTGTGCGCCGCTGCCGGGCGGGGCGGCGCCTTCGCGCTGGGCCACTGCTCTGGCTCGGGCGGCGGCCGGCTGGGAGGCTTCGTCGGCACCGTCTTCGGCAGCGCCGGGCTGGGACCCGTGTGTCCGTCCGTGTGCCCGCCCGGAGGCATCCCTCAGGTCACCGTCAACAAAAGCCTCCTGGCTCCCCTCAATGTGGAGCTGGACCCGGAGATCCAGAAGGTGCGCTCCCAGGAGCGGGAGCAGATCAAGGCGCTGAACAACAAATTCGCCTCCTTCATCGACAAGGTGGGTCCTCAGATGTCGGTTTGGCCCCCAGCTACCAGTGTGCCCACGGGTACTCCCTCTGCCACTGACAGTTACTTGAAAACTTGGGCGACCTGGTTATCTTTTCTGAGCTTCCCTTTGCTTATCTGTAAAATGGGCAAAACAGTGGCTCTTACCTCACATGATGATGTGAGGATGAACTGGATGTTTATAAAGGGCTTGGAACAGAGCTTCTCACTCACTCTCTCGAGCCCCACCCCATGATTAACAGAAGCCTAATTTTTCCTTCCCGGGCAAGACCCTGGGATGGAAGGGGGTGCACCACAGGCAGGAGACCTATGGAATGACCCTCTGAGAGTTTGCAATATCAGACGAAGAGATGGGGACACATATCTAGGACAGGAGCACCAGAGGGATACTGACCAGGGAGTATCACAGGACATGATGCTTGGTGAAGGGAAAGGACTTAAAAGGTAGGAAGTGGGATGGGGGTATAAGCCAGGAAGGGTTCTGGAGGAGATGAGAGAAAAGGACCAGAAGATGGAAGGGTGGGGCTATTGAGGAGGGCCTGTCAAGTCACATGTGTGGATTTTGTGTGTCTGTGGGGAGGGGGACATGCAGGGTTTAAAAGGGAAGATATTCCTGGTGACTCAGAGGCAGTGACCCCGAAGGATAGAGAGCAGAGAATGAATAGGTTTCTATATCCAAGCCTGGGCAGAAGATCTGGACCATGACTCAAAGGGGACATAATCCAGATAAAAGCTGACATTAGTCAGTGCCTGGTGCTGTCCCAAGGGGTCCTCATATATCACACGTGACCCAAGATTTTGTTATCATTCTGCTTCATGGATGAGGAAACCAAGACAGAGGGAGGCTAAGAAACATGCCCAAGTTGGTAGAAGAGCAACAGCAGATAGTGTTCCTCACCACTGTGCCTGGGAAGAGGAAGGGAGGTGGTTGGAGGTGAGAGGGCAGGAGTAGAAGAAACAGAGCTGCTATCCCAGGGAACAGGGTTCATTTTCCTCTTCAGAGTCTGTTCTTCCCCTCACGTTCCCTTCTCTCCCTAAAGCTAGAGAAAGGGAAGAAGAGGAAGGCTAGTGAGTAGCAGAGAATTGAAGTTTCTGAGTCCAAACGTGTGAGACCTTTTGTCGAGTATGCAGGAACCTTGTAAAGACGTGATAACCCACTTTGAAATGAAAACCAAAGAAACCAGACAACCAAGAGCAACTGAGGTTGCACCTAAGAAAGGACAGGTTAACCACCAAAATTACCTTCCGTCCCATTCCCCCATTACTGTTTCTCCCTTGGTTCCCATCTTTCCTCACTCTGAAAAGCCCAGCATTTATGGCAAAAGAAGCTACCTGCATCATGTGATAACTCTTAAACCTACCCCCTTGATTTCTTTTAGACTGAGTCTTATTTCTTGTCTTGGAGACCCAGATAAGCACGTCCTCATGGCTGAATCCATTCTCTGATGCATCTTGGTCTTTACTGCCTCCTACCATAGGATGACTATCTGATTTTTGGGGCCCTCTCCCCACTGTTGAGAGGCAACAGCGTGGGGATTCTGGGCTCTGACCACCTTTGGGTTCCAGGTGCGGTTCCTGGAGCAGCAAAACCAGGTATTGGAGACCAAGTGGAACCTACTACAGCAGCTGGACCTGAACAATTGCAGGAAGAACCTAGAGCCCATTTATGAGGGCTACATCAGCAACCTGCGGAAACAGCTGGAGACACAGACAGGTGACAGGGTGCGGCTGGACTCAGAGCTGAGGAACATGCAGGACTTGGTGGAGGACTACAAGAAGAGGTGAGTGGAAAGGCAGAGAATCTGCCCCTGGAGGGTCTTGATTACAGATGAGGTTTCGATTTGGAGTCAGCATTTTTGCCTTTTTCAATCCCTTACTATAACATTTGCTATTTCCTTTTCCATAGGGGAGCCGGGGAGATCCAGACAGGTTGAGACTTAGGAAGAGAAAAGATCTATCTAGGGTGGTGCCCTGAATTTCTAGGAAATGGTGTGCCCAACTTTTAACATTGGAAATGGAGAAATGGGTACAAGAGAGTTGTCTCAAAACCAGATGGACAACCCAGATGGCTTTGTAGCTCCTCCTGCGTGAGGTCTTCTGTGGGAGTACCTAGAATGTGAACCATAACACCAATCCCAGAACAAATCCTAAAGCTAAGCAAATAAAAGTTTTGAAAAATTTTTTCATATTGAGGTGTCTCTGTGCTGCTGAATCCCACCATTAAAGAGAAAGATTGAAAATGTACCTGGAACCAGAAATAATTTCTCTTGGATTTGAGCCAGTGAGGAGAGCATGACACATCCTGGCTTAGCATGATCTGATATTTTGGAAGTTTGCTTCCAGGTGCCAGGATTTTTAGGGAAAGATAACTTCTTCCACAATTCAAGGGGATGGAGTTGATCAGAGCTGAGCGATTTCTCTTGTTCCACGTTCAATCTGCCGGGCCATCCCTATTCTGAACTACCCTCAAGTGGAATTCTGTTCTGAGTCCTGAGGGAGGAGGTGGCATGGTCTCTCCCCTCAGAAAACATCCAGATTGTGGGGACAGGCTTGACAAGCACTTTCAGAGAGCCCCCAGGAAGTGAAATGAATACAGTGTGGATTGAGATTGAATGGGATTCAGATGGAAATTGCAGCCTAAATCAATCTCAATCCACATTGTGAATACAGTGTGGAGCAAAATTCTGGAAAAAAAAAGAAGAGGGGGTTTCCAGGCACAGCCCAGATGTCAGGTTGGAGGCCCCCAAAGGTCTTGCTGCCTCTGGAAGGCCAGGTGTTCTGGAAATACCTCTCAGTTGAGCTGATGATGGGTGAGCCTCCTGGTTCTCTGTGGACTTCAGTTTTAATATTTGTAAAATTCAGATACTGACACCTGCCTTACCACCTAAAAGAGCTGTTGAGATGGTAATGCTGTTACTAATGTATTATCATCTCTTTAAAGAACCGAAGTTCTAGGCAAATCTAAGGCATTGTTTCCCTGATGTCACTGGGATCCTAGCTTGACAAGCTTTGTGACCTTGGAAAAGTCTTTGCCTTGCTTTTAAAATTGAGAGATGATAATGATAGGATCTACTTGATAGGGTTGTTGTGGGATGAAATGAAATAAGGAAATGAATTAGGAATTGTTATAAAATCCACCTAGCTGCAAACTAAAGGTGACATCTTGTACAATAGGTTACTGGAAGAACTGGAGATTAAAGTGGTGTAGATGTGATATAATTAATACCTCTGTGCTCTAAGACAAGAAAAATTAACCTACACTTTGTTATGGCTTAACTTTTAATTGTACATCGTAATGTATTTTGTAAATCATGAGTTATTGATAAAGCCAATAGTACTAAAAATGCATTGATTTTCTTTATAAATGTGTATGTGCTCTGGTGTTTAGTCTCTAGAAGTAAATAATGAAAATGTCATTAATAAATGTCATTAATTTGATAGCCATCATGACCAAACTTTTTCTGTGTGTTTTATGAAACAGAAAGGTAAGCTAAAAACTAGTCTGCAACTAGCATACGCTCTTATTTATTAACAGGAGGAAGAAAAATGGAATATTTTCTGAGATAATAGGAGATAATGATAATTATAATAGAAACAACCCTATCATAATATAATTTGATACAAGAAAGTATTCATTTACCTTTTAAATAACACACCTGGAATCTGAGATAAATCATATCAATTGTTTTTCTGTGTGTTCTATCCACTGTAACTAACACAATCTGGCAGTCTCAGAAAATGTTCCAGTTGCATTTTTAAAATAACCCACTTCGTTAACCTATACTGTCATCTGACAAGGCTTTCCCCCCCTTGGCAGCCAGCCGCTTGCCTTAGGAAGGAGTAAGAAGCTGAAAAGGATAGCTCACATGAAAGGATATGGAAAGAAACCAGTTGCTAGCATTAGTTATTTCTTTTCAGGGTTCTATTTCATTTCCCAATGCAAATATCCTGCAATACATTCTTTGACAATAATAAGAGTTGGAATAGTGAGGTCTGTAAGGGATCAATACTCCCATCTCCCCAATCTACAATGTATCTGTGTGAAGAACATCCCGGCCCTATCCAAACATCCTGTTTCTAAGACCTTGCTTCACCTGGAACAGAAATATGTATAAAAAACAAGCAGAACATACAACTCAAAGGTGGGGGTAGTATTTGTTTGGTGTCTGAGAGGTTTTGCGCCCTGGGCTAATGCCCTGTACTAATTAATGTCCCTGTTGGGAGAAGGGGTATCATTCTGCTCTCACAAGGGAGGGGTAGTTGTGAAAGGGATGAAGGATGGTGGAAGCCCATCACAGGTGCGTTCCTGGGCAGAGGCATTGTAGGGTAGGTTACATGTGAACTAAGGAGCTGCACATTGATTCCTTTAAACCTACTCCGGTCAAGGTCCCTTTTGATCATTGTGCATACCCCAGGGGTGCGGGAACTCCAGTGTGTAGGTCACGGCCGTGCAGCTCTTGCACAGCGGTGCTCACTGACTGCTCAGTGAGTGTTTGCAGAACTGAATTATCCCAATGATAATGCCACCGCCTCTCTCTTGCCGCACACAGGTACGAGGTGGAGATTAACAGACGCACAGCTGCTGAGAATGAGTTTGTGGTGCTCAAGAAGGTAAGAGGGAAACAGGGAGGGCTGGAAGAAACCTCGAGGCTCCCTGAGTACCTGACACGGTGGTGTTGGTAGGCTGAGGAAAGGGATTCCGTGGGTCACTCAGTCCCTTGGGCAGGGGTGGCTGCGGTTCTCATTTCCCAGTTCCTCTGTCTGAGTCCCTTTGCCTGGGATGCGTGTTGCTCCCAGAGTCTGCCTGCTTAGAATCCAGACGTTCGGCACACTCCTGGCACGGCCATTGCCCTGCACATTGGTTGGTCTGCTCTCAGCAACTGGGAAGCACAGGGTGAGGGGAGTGGCGAGAGCAGGGAACCTGAGGCTCCTTACAACAGGTAGGGAGGGCAGGGGAAGGCAGCTGGCTCCTCTTTTGGTCCCCCAGGACGTGGACGCCGCCTACATGAACAAGGTGGAGCTCCAGGCCAAGGTGGACTCCCTGACGGATGAGATCAAATTCTTCAAGTGCCTCTATGAAGGGGTAAGGATTCCACGGAGCTCCTGTGTGGCCTGCTCCTCCCATGAGTGGCTCCTGTCCCTTGGCTTGCATGGATGTGTGGACCAAAGGTTGGCAGCTCCGTGCAGCTGATGTTTGCGGAGCAGTGAGGTGGGCTCTGAGGAAGCCACGAAGAAGAAGGGATGATTCCTGTCCCCTAGGAAATCACACTCTGTGGCTGAGCCCTGGGAGAGCAGAGGAAGTTGTAGGGAATTCTGTCCAAGCTGTCAGGGAAGATTCCCGGGGAAGGAGGAGGAAGATCTCAGGGATGCTGAGAAGGGCCTGGCATGCAGCCTGAAGGAGTGGGATGAGCGGTCTGAGCTGGGTCAAGTGAGTAGGGCCTGGAGAAGAAAAGGTGGTTGGCAACTCCAGAAGGGCTCTGTGGGCCACCTAAGGAGATCAGACTTAATTCTACAGATGAAGGGTGGTCATTGCTGCAGAGCGTGGAACAGGGGTGGGAGCAGTCCTGAGTGCAGGATGGAGAGGGGCGTCCCACACTGGGGCTGAAAGCCAGATGCGGGCACCTCGCTCTCGGCAGGCAGCGGTGCTGGCGGGCTCTGCTGAAGGTGGAGTTCAAACACCACGGAAGGGCCGCAAGAGATTTGCCAGGGAGGGTCAGGAGAGGGGCTCCCCTCGTGGAGACCCTCTAAGTGGCTCCACTTCCCTAACTGTTCTCCAGGAGATCACTCAGATGCAGTCCCACATCAGCGACACCTCTGTCATCCTGTCCATGGACAACAACCGGGACCTGGACCTGGACAGCATCATAGATGAGGTCCGTGCCCAGTACGAGGAGATCGCTCTGAAGAGCAAGACCGAGGCTGAGGCGCTGTACCAGACCAAGGTGGGCTGCATGCCAGGTGTGCCGAGGCCCAGGGACCCCAGTTGCCTCTCTCTCCTCATGCCTGACTGCATGCGCTTGTGTGGTGTGTGTACCAGGCTGGGTTGAGACCGCCTTTGTCTTAGAGTTGGGCCTCGTGGAAATGTCTCCCTCTGTGGGGCCGAGAGGTCCTCCACAGTCTCGGCATGTGCTGGGGGCGTATGTGGGCTCAGCCCTCGCCCTGCGGTTGCCCTTGTTGACAGCAGAGGCCACACTAGCCACAACCCTGGGGAGACTCTGATACGGTTTCTGTGCATAATCCATCTATCCTGGCTTTGTTTTGTGTTTCCTGCTTTGTCAAAATGAGGACGGGATATTCTACTTCCACCTAGGGTTTCACATTTGTGAGCCCGAGGATCCTACTGAGCTGGGTCAGGGCTTTCTTGTTGAGAAGAAAAAGGTGGTTCCCCCTACTTCCCTCCCCTCTCCTCCCTCCTCTCCCTCCCTCCTCACTGTGCATTTGTTGCTCAGGCAATGAGAACAACATGTGGTCCCCCTCCCACTCCCCATGTTCAACACCCTTAAGAGGCAAATTCCCAACTGTCCTGGGCTCCTCTTCTCTTGTCCCCCAACCTCAGATCCAAGAGCTGCAGGTCACCGCAGGCCGGCATGGGGATGACCTCAAACTCACCAAGGCTGAGATCTCAGAGCTCAACCGCCTGATCCAGAGGATCCGCTCCGAGATAGGGAATGTGAAGAAGCAGGTGGGTTCCATGAAATGAGTCAGCTAGCGGGTTTATTGCACGCCCAAGGTATGAGACTAAATGTGGAACAACAAGTCATAACCCCTCCTTAGGGCATGTGTAATCCTTCAGGAGGGAACAGCCCGAACCTACATAGAAGGGCGAAGCATTCCACCCACTGTGCAGCCTGCTCCCTAAGGAGCCCGAGTGGCCAGAACGGAATGCAGACCCCAGTGAGGCTTCCTGCAGGAGGTGGGATGCATGGGCGGGAAGGAGAGGGGAAGGAGGAGAAGGAGCCAGCAGGAGCAGTGGGTCCAATGTGGACACCGCATGGCGTGTGTGCAGGGAGGAAAGACACTTACCCCAAGCAGAAGTTCCACGATGGCTGGGATGGCAGGCGGCAGGACATCACTACATAGGACGGGCAGGTTAGGGGCACCTTCAAAGTGGGGCAGTGGAGTTTAGACCGAATGCAGTAAGTTAAAAGGAGCTGTTTGAAGGTTTCACGTGATGAATCCATGCTGGAGGGAGAGCCCAGCCATGGAATTTAGAAGAGGGGAGGAGAGAAAGCCTCCTTCTGTTGGCTTGGCCCAGGGCTCTGCTCTGTGTCTGTCCATCCCCGTGGCTGTGCTGTGTGTGGTGGCCTGGCACTGAGTGACCCCATGACCCTGGGTGCAGTATTGGTCTCACTGATGTTTCTGATGCACGCAAACCCGTGAATTTCCCAGAGTTTGTGGAGGCTGGCACAAAGGCTCTGAGCTTTCCAGACAAGTCAAGTGGCCCTGTCCCCATGCCCTCTTCTTTAGTGGCCTCTCCCTGGCCTGTGTGCGCGTGCACACACACATGCCCCACATGTACATGCAGACTCATGCACATACATCATCTCTGTGCACCAGGCTCATGGTGAGGGGAAGAAAAAAGACCTCTTAAATAAGAACTCATGGTGTTTTCATTTAATTAAGTTCTGCATAAATGAAAGAAAAACACAAGGTGTTTGAGGCCGCCCTCAGTATCCGATTATATTTATCTAATAAAATGTTACATGTTCACGGTTGGGTGAACTTATTACTAGAAAGTGACTTTGTGATCAGAATGCCATCAGGCAGGTCAGGGAAGATGTCCTCCATGGGGAGTCAGTGGGGTTCACTCTTGATTCTTAGGCCCCATCGCAGCTCCTACTGAGGGCCCCCAGCCAAGGTGGTTTCCTGCCCTCTGGCTTTTCCACTGAAAAAGCACCTGCAGACTCTCTTGGCATTCGGTGATCCCAGGATCCATGTGATAATTGTTTCCAAGGGTGCCCAGATTTCATGCCCTCTCACCTCACGCCACTTTCACAAGACCCAAGAGTCTCCCCGATTCACCCTGCAGGACCTCAGTCAGTGAAAAGGAGCAGAGCATGGTTTGATAGAATTCAGGTCACAGAGTGTCTGGCCATCCCTTGAATGATTAGACCTCCACAGTCCCGAGGACGGGACATGGCCATGTGTGGCCAGACAGCTGGGTCCTAGGCATTTCTGCAGAGGCTGTGAACCACTCATCCAAACACTGTGGGTGTTTGCATGGTGGGGGGGTCTGCCTGGCAGAGGGGGAGGCACCGGCTGGGCAACAGCCTAGAATTCTGTCTGGCCTTGGGACCGGCTGCTCTCCTTGGGGTGAAACAAATTTGACTCCAGAGAAAGGGGACACACAAGAAAAGAGAAGCCATATTTAGATCCCACCAAGACTTGGCCAAGTGATGGGAAAAACCTCCCAAGACTTAAAGACTCAAGAAACCCCTGGCACCTTCTCATGGACGTGGCTGAGAGCCCCTTCCCCAGCTTCATACTGCAAGTTACCTTCCCACCTAACAGCGGGTGTCTATAAGCTAGTGAGACCTGTTGTTCACAAAAGTATCTTTTGAGGGTGTTGCCCCATACCAGGATTCTCTATGGAATTTTGGGAGCTAGACTCCGTGTGGCAGGTTTATTGGACAGAAATTTTATTAGTAGTAACCTTATTAGTATCCCCCCCCCCTTTGCTATCTTTCTTTCTCTCTCATTTTTGGTTTTTGTTTTGTTTACAATTTACAGGATCTCTCAAGACAACCTCTACTGTGGGGCAGAATTAAGCTAGTTGCCCCAAAAGTTTTCAAGGGTGGCATCAGAATCTTGTGGCCAGTGTTACAGACCGGGAGGGAGAGGACAGGAGCCACTGGCCCAGGAGGCTCCCCTTCTCAGTGCCTTTCGTCTCTCTCCCAAGGGAGGGAAGGGCCATCTTCATATGACAATGCATGAGTGGAGGTGAACCGTGCCCTGAGTTAGGAGAAGGACAGATTCATCTCTAGCGATGTCCCAAAGTGGAGAAACTAGGAGGACCTTAATGCATTCACTATCAGTCAGGACCAAATGAGAGGGGATGTCTGGGCAGGATCTCAGAACTGTGTTCTGACTCAAAGCGCTGAATGCATTTGCCCCTCAGTGCTCCAACCTGGAGACGTCCATCGCCGATGCCGAGCAGCGGGGCGACTGCGCCCTGAAGGACGCCCGGGCCAAGCTGGACGAGCTGGAGGCCGCCCTGCACCAGGCCAAGGAGGAGCTGGCCCGGATGCTGCGCGAGTACCAGGAGCTCACGAGCACGAAGCTGGCCCTGGACATGGAGATCGCCACCTACCGCAAGCTGCTGGAAGGCGAGGAGTGCAGGTAGGGGGGCCAGATATCTTTTATTTGGAGCAGTTACCTCTTTGCTTTAGGAAGACTGAAGGCAAACAGTTTGGTTCCGTTCAGGTCCTACTGGGTAACACCTTATAGGGAATGGGTTTGACATGGTACAACAGGAAAGACCAAAGTTAGGCTGCAGGAAGGACTGCATTGTCAAAATCCCAAAGAGGAGGTGGGAGAGGAAATATGAACATCAGCAGCTTTGGAGAAACAGAGTCTCCCTGGCCCTTTGTGCTGCATGCTTAGGGAAGTGGGGGGAGGGGCAAGATGGCTTCCAAGAGTCAGCTAAGTGTAAGGTCACTCCGGCAAAGCCTGGGACCCAGCGAGCAGGTGGACTCATTCCTCTTAATTGTGTGAGACCACTGGCATAACAGAGGTGAGCAGGGCCTCCACAATGACCCCACCCATCAGATCACCCAGAGCCACTCTGATGGCTAGAGAAGTGAGCCTTCCCAGCGGACGTCCCACTGGGGTGTGTGTGTAGGGGGAAGGGATGCTTCCTCCCCCCCACACACACACCCCAAGGAAGGATGAGGGGGACAGTGGCACCACTGTGACCCCCTGGAGAGACACCGTCCTGCTTTACAGAGCATTTACCTGCCTTTCCTCTCTCTCTCCAGGATGTCTGGTGAACATCCGAGTTCTGTGAGCATCTGTAAGTACCTACAGGACCAGGTTTGGGTGTGGTCACCTTCCAGAAGTCTGAGCCTCCAATTCCATGACACTAGAGAAGGTTCAGGAAAGAGTCAGGGGCAACAAGAGGGAGCTGGCTTGAATCACCGATGAGAAGCAGTGATGGAGAAAAATAATACCATGAAATACAAAAGTACAGCCTATAGAGAGATCAAAGGATATCTAACAGTGTGTGAATCCAAAGTCTCCTTTAAAATGAGGCTTACTGGCCATGTTGTATTTCTCTTGAGGCCAGACCGAAACCAAGGCTCCAGCTTGCAGTAAGAAGGACCTGGGGAGTTGGAGGGACTGAGGGCGGGCCATAACAGCCTTCTGCAGACTGAAAAGCTAGAGACAGTGCAGGTGCAGAGGGAGGCACTCTCCTGGGAGAGGGGGTGTCGGCCCGCAGCCCCTTCCATGGGGACAGCACCAGGGGCCTCCGTGAAGGGCCTTGGTTCACGTGGCCTGTCCTGTGGGGGGAGGTTCACTGAGAGAGCCCACGAAGGCTCCAAGTCTGATGCTGGTGGAGGGACACAGACTAACGGGAGGTCAAATACATGGGGCCAAATCCTTGAGAAATGATCCGTACTGCCAAAAACCTCCAAGGACACTGAAAGGACCCAGCAGAGGGACTCTGTCCCCACAGGGCAGGCACTGAGGGAGTGGGCCGGGATGCCCCAGAAAGACCCCCAACCCTGCATCTTCTCTCCCCTGTTCCAGCTGTCATCAGCAACACGGGCGCAGGGGCAGGAGGGGCTGGCTTCAGCGTGGGCTTTGGCGCCTCGAGCAGTTACAGCTTCAAGCCAGCGGCCATGGACGTCAAAACCAAAGGCAGCTGTGGCAACGAGTTCAAGGATCCCCTGCCTAAGAGCTCAGGCGGCAGCTGTGCGGCCAGGAAGGCCTCGAGGTGAAGGGCTGGCGGTGACCCTTGGCTCTGTGAGCAGAAAGCCGCAGGGCCCAGCCGCTCCCCCTGCCCCTTCCCTGTCCGGGCCAGGAGGTGCTTCCTCTGTGGCCGCAATCCCCGTGCCATCCCCTAGCCCTGTGGTCCTCCACGCGGTGGATGCTGTGAGGTGGGAAGTCCCATGGGGGGTGCTCCCGGTGACCTCCCCCTTGGCTGTTTTTCACTGGGTCACTGCCCCCAACACAGAGATAACACAGCTATGTGGATGTCTCCCTGTGACCAGTGTGAACCCCTCTGTCCCCATGCCTTTCTGGGGCCATCGCAGCCCAGGGGCTCTCTTTGTCCTCTGCTTTGGGTCATGTCCAGTTCTCTGCTTCTCCTGCAATAAACAATCAGAGCCATTGGATTCTCGGTGTCAAATATGTTGCCCGGGATGTCAGCATCCACAGTGTCCCTCTGCCTTTTCTCCATCTGACTCTTGCCTCCCTCTGGGTCTCTGCGTGGACATGAGTCTCCATCGTCCCGTTCTGGCCCAGTAGGGACTGGTGAGGGTGGTTCCTGGTCAGCAGTTGAGTTTGTTACTGACATGCCTCTGGGCAGGCTTGGGGCTTCCCCGGCACTGGGCCACCAGTCCACACAGTGCGAGGCGGGTATGTAAACATCGCAGTGAGCAAGGAACCGGGGCATGCTGGGAACAGGCATGGGGGTTTGGGGTGTCTTCTCCCTTTACTTCTCGAAAGTACCCACAGCCCCACACTAAGCACCTCTTTTTCCAGAGTGGTCATTCCCTCCTTTTCCTTACCTCTTGGCTCTCCTGCCAATGCCCCTTAACCCTGCTCCCCCACAAAGGCCCTGCTTTCTTCTTCCAGCCCGTTCTTTTCCACCCCAGAGTCTGAGGCTTGCACACACATAGGCTTCTGAATGCGTCCATGTCCACTGTGTATATATAGTATTTTTACACACTGAGGCGATCCAGGCACTGGGAGGAGCAGAGTAAACCCACTGGCACAGACGTTGCTCTCATAGAACTTATAGTCCACGGGGAGAGGGAAAATAAGCAACTAGCAAAGATAACCCGTAACGTGGGCAAGCGGCGATTCCCTCTCTGAAGGGAAATTACATGAAGAAGGGGGCTCTCTGAGGTGTGCGTGGGTTTCCGCAAGGGTGTCTGTGTTCCCAGAATCCGTTTCCACAGTTGGCTTGAGCAAGGTGCTCAACAGGAGAATCCGCAAGGGCGAGACCACCTTCCAAGGATGAGCCTCATTTGAGGGGGGTGTTCAAGGTGCCCGTGACGCTTTCTCCTCCTCCCGCATCCCCAGCCTTATCCTCCAATCTTTCTGCCAGCAGGCCAGGCCTTTTCACACTCAAGGACCTTTACAAATAGGATTTTTCACTTGCAGGTGCTCAGGCCCCTTTTACTGCAAGCCGGCTCATCCTTTGTGGCCCGCTGAAATGCCACGTCCCTTGCTCATGCTTTTTCTGGTCCCTCCTGGCGGACTCCAGCAAGGTCATTGAGCATTAAATGAGAGGAAGCATTAGAACTGGTGGCCTGACTGTTCTCCCCGTTCCCTGTCCCCTCACTTTATAGGCCAGCAAGCAAAGGCCTGGATGGTTCAGCGCCCTCCCCAAGATCATAGCCCCACACACCCACGGCACCGGTCCCGAATCTGCATTATACTTGGGGCTTTATTTTCCTGGTGTCGAGGTAGTGGCACAGACATCTGTCCCCTCATCCCACTCCCCCTCAACCCCAGGATCCCCAGTCTGGCTCATGGCACACAATATACATTTTCTGCAAGAATGCCTGGCTCAGTCTAGCCCACCCTGGGTGGGAAGAAGGAGCTCTGGGCATACACATGTGTCCCGATGACTTGGTTTGTGCGTGGTGAAACACATCTGTGCTAATAAATTTGAGTTTGACATACATCTGTGCATATGCAGTGTATACAATTTATCGACCAAACTGGAACACTGATTCTGGACCCAGGCTGAACGGGATTCTCAGATGACCGGCATAAGCCAGGACAGTCTCAGGCAAAGGGCCCACCTGCTAGTACTGGCTGAGTCCTAGGCTTGGCCTCCAATCCTGCCTCTTCCAATGGCTAGTTGTGTCCTAGTGCGAGGTCCTGCCCTTGCAAAATAAGACTGATACAAGCTGGCCCAGGCACTGTTCTCGGCACCGACACTTCTGAGCTCTTCATGGCCAGCAACTCAATGAATTCTTCCAGCAATCTGATGGGTATTATTGTTATAAGGTGCAATTATAATAATGCACATCTCACTAATGAGAATATTGAGGCTCTGAGGGGTAAAAGAAACCAACTGATGTTGCGTAGTAAATGGCAGAGTTGGGAGCTGAATCCCAGTCCAACGGCAGAGCCCGTACCTCCAGATAGGACGCCTCATAACTGACAAAGTTCTCATCGTAGAGGAGTGTTGAGAATATGGAAGGGAATAATGGGAGTACTACAGTGCCTGAAATACAGTTTGGAGCCAAGAGATGTTAGTTGTTATTATAATAATTATTATTAACCTGTGTGCAGGGGCCTTCTTTGCTGGCTGTGCGCTGGTTCAGGACCCATCGATCCACAGCAGGACTGTGCCCAGGGACCTGGCTGACAGGGGCTGAGTGCAGGATGGAGGGCACTGGATCTTCTCATGGAGGCACATTCCCCTGTAGTCATGGACTGGTAATTTCTAAGCCCGAGAAACAACTCTCTGGCGCCTGTAGTTTGTGCACACACTGCCCTCTGCCAGCAGCCCCAGGTACTGCACCTCCTGTCCACAAGGTGGTGAGGAAAGACTTCTCTGGGGGCAGTGCGCGTTTGGCCTGGGTTGGGGATAATTTAGGACAGGTTCTGTGCCCACCACAGGGCTGCCAGCTGGAGGAAATGCACTTACACTCTCTAGCATGCCCAGGGTGGCCTCAGCTTCCGTGTTGCCCAGGCAACCAGGCTGCTGATCTCTCTCAACCCTCTCCCTGGCTCTAGCTTATGACGTGCAGCCCCCACTTTTGCTTCATGCTGCCCAGCTGGGTCGGTGTACCCGTCTCCTGTGTCTACTGGCTCCCACTTCCAGACTGCTTGGGTCCTGGTTTGTGCGCCCCTGTCCCCCACTCTCTGATCTGCAGGGCAGATCCAACCAGCCTCATGAACACACCGCTGCATGTCACACCTAGTAGCCTGGCCATCAAGTCTCACGTGCCTCAGTGGGGACCCGTGACACTGGAGAGATGGGGACTTGGTCTCTAGATGTCCTGCTCTAGAAGGGAGAGTTGATAGAATCTTACAAGGGGGCTCCACTTGGGTCTCCGCTGTGAATAGAGCTCTGAGCCTAACCTCAGGTGTCAGCGCTGGACGTCACCTAAGCCCCACCTGCCTGAGCCTCTCTGTCCCTGGCAGGCTGGCATCCTGGAGGGTGGTGCTTAGGGTCCCTCGGCAGAGTAGCCAGTAGGTAACTCACTCCTTCCACCCAGGCTGGGCCTGGATGGACTTGCCTTTCCTGGAACGGTGGAGGGTTCAGTTCAAGCTTCTGCCTATAGCCTCTTCCTCACACTGTCTATGCCTTAACTCCCTGCCCACAGGACCCACCCATCCCTCCCCACTGACCTGATCTTTTCCAGCTTCCTTTTCCTAAATACCCACTTCTTATTCCTTGTATTTCTTTCTGGACGTCCTACCATTCCCTTTTTCCTCCCACCTCCTACCTTGCCTGTGGTCACCCAGGCCCCTTAGTGCTTTTGTCCTGCTTGCCTTCTTCTCCTCTTCTCCTGCCCCTTTCCCAACTCCCTTCCCCAGGACCCCGTAGTCTCAGCTATGATGTGGACACAGGAAGGGGGATGGCCATTCCCCCCACACCTGAGGCAGGTGCCCCCCCAGGCTCAAACCACCACTCCTGATGGGGGTGGGGGATGGTCCTCCCCCCACTGTTTGGACAGGGCTGTGCTGTGCTCCGATGGGAGATAGAGAGCATGTCATTAGTGATGACAGGCTTAATTATAGCCCACCACACAGCCCGGCTTGTTTGCTTTGGAAACGGGCAAAAGAAGAGGCGGATCAAGCACCAACTTCATAGTCACGATCAAAAGATTAAGGCATTTCATTTCCCCCAGCCTCTCCATTGTCTTTGAAAAAAAGGGTGGGAGGAGAGAGGGAGAGAGAATCAGGCAATAAGTGGGGAGGGGGCAGGAAATACTTCCCAAAATTCTTCCGGAAGGGGCTTGGGTGGAGGGGTCTGAGGTAAGGAGATGGATGAAGTAATACAGGAATGGGGGCCTGGTGGTATTTTGAAACAAGCGAATGGAAGAAAATATGTCCTTTCCAGGGCAAGACTGCTCTTGTCTGCACATACCTCTGTGCATTTGGGCTGAGAGGAAAATTCCCTAGGATGACTAGGTAGGTGGTGGGGTGGAGCTGTGGAGAGTTCAGAGAGCTTTTCTTTTCAAAAGAGGGGAGACAAGAGCTATAAAGTACCTGATCTACACTAAAGGGCTGGGGGGTCTTTCCAGCCACCAAAGCCTTAGGAGCCAGAGCGCAGGGAGAAAGAAAGTGACAGGAATGGAGAAGTTCAGTGAGACAGGCCCGGGATATGCTAAAGGCAATCTGGGGGAATTCATGCTAACACGTGTGGGGGTGGCGTGGGGAGGAGGGCCTAGCACAGATGGAGAGAGACCAGAGCATTGCTTGGGTTTTAAAGTTTTACAGACTGGGGGAGATGTCACTTCAGTGATCCCTACAGACTACGGGAGAATTTGCGACTCTGTACTGTGCCATACAGGGGGTGTTAGCATGATCCAATGTCCAGGTGGTCCAGAGCTGTCCAGGTAGTAGCACTGAGGGAAAACGTCTCAGTCCCAGGCAAACGGGAGAGTTGGTCTCCCTACAAAATGGTCTTTGGTTACTCCCAATCGTCCCTCATGTTCTGGACCCCTTCTCACTAACACAGAACTTTCTGCCTCACTCCCTCCACATCACCTGCCCCTCTGCGTCTAGTCCTGCGTCTAGAGCCCCA